CATAAACACCTGCGAAGGGTTCTCCGTAAACAATGGCAACCAACTTCAACAACCAGCATCATCATCATCATCAATCAATCCATCCATCAATCAATCAATCAATCAACCCATCCATCCATCCATCACTCCATCCATCCATCCATCCATCCATCCATCCATCATCCTCATCCTCAACATCCTCATCAAGCATCATCAAGCATCACCATCACCATCACCATCACCATCATCATCATCATCATCCTCATCAAGCATCATCAAGCATCATCATCATCATCATCTTCAATCATCATCATTATCACCATCATCATCTTCAATCATCTTCATCACCATCGTCATCGTCATCATCATCATCATCATCATCATCAATCATCAACCATCATCATCGTCATCGTCATCATCATCATCATCATCATTCAACATCAAACATCAACCATAATCACCATCACAATCATCATATATCATCAGTCAAAATATGGACTTGAAATGACTTGATCCTGCGTTCCTGTGTCTTTTTGTGTTTGGATATGTCTTTTGCAAAAAGCCGCTTAACATATCTTAAAATCATGTCTCCCCAACCTTTTCAATACTACGCCTACTATTGCCACTGCCGCTAGCACTAGGGCTACGGTGACGTGGGGGTGGCCCCCATGAATGGTACCTCAGACCTTGTTGAACTTCCAGACCAAGAGAGGGGGGTGCGGTGGATTTAACCCGGGGTTTGCATTCTGAAAAGCAAATGAACTTAAAACCATGATTCGCTGAAATCTTCTACCAATTGACTTGCAAGAGTTGCACTTGCGAAAGCTTGTTGCGATTCCGCACTCACCATCAGGCATCTACAGTAGCCCATGCGCACTTCAGCCACCGCGCAACTTTGAGTGAGACAGCTTTGACAAAGCACTCAGGCTGCATCAAATGGATTCCTGAGACCCATTCTCACCGTCACCGGCCATTCTTCAATGGCGAAAGGCACTATGCTATTGGCTTCGCACCAATGCAATCGCATGGTCACCTGATTTACGAATGGGGTGGGGGTCCGGGTTGGGCGAGTGCTTCCGATGTCATCGGCGTGAGATGGTTCATCTAAATGACAAGACTGTCAACGATTGCACGACATAGAGGTCGATTGCATTGATTTGGTCCTCACAAGGGGGTCATCGTGATATGATAGATTGACATGGTGACGATCACGTGAAGGCAACTTGAAAACAAAACGCCGGAAGAGTTCATGAACTCCTTGATTGATGAGAGGCACACAAAGACAAGGGTAGAAAAACTGCGTGCCGACCTCATTGGTGGTGTCTCTGAAATGTTAAATATTATCTACACACACACATACTGTATATAATTGTATATATATATATAGTTTTGACATGAAACATGAGTCTTGTTCCATTTTGTTGCGAAATGTGTGAAAATATGTGAAGAAGTTCCCACCCACACTGGCGTCAAAAATACATGCAGTTATCGACTCGTCGAGACGACTTACTAGTGCACCCGTGGCTGTATAGTTGTTGTTTGGTTGTCCCGACCTGCGGTGGTTGTTGATGCAAATCAGAAACGTGCAGGCCTCGGCAGCTTCAAGGATGCAAATAGGAAGAGTTGGGTTATTGAAATCACCCAGGAGCCAACACTTGCCACTTGCACTTGCAAAATGTCAGGCACAAACCCACGCCGAGAGATGCCGCTTAGAGTTGCAAGATTCTTCCCCAATAGCGAAGCTTAGGGGTCTTCAGCTATAGTAAAGATTTCGGGGCAGATCGGAGTAGGATCCGGAGCAGCTTCTGGATGAGGTTCCAAAGCTTGGGTGAATTCATGTCGCTTGGGCTAATTAGACTTATCCTTGGCACCATCGCCCCCACAAATTAACAACGGATGGAGGTCCCAAATGTAACTTACATAATTTCTATGCTTTAGGACAGGGACCCAAAATGTATACAAGTTGCAATCTCTGGGACCGCCCTGGAGGATCCCCAAGGTACTTATATACATACGAGTATATAGTTGTTTTAATTTTTGGGGTGCATCAAACCTCCCACGTTATTGCATACTAAAGTTCTCCAAAAACAGTAATTGCAAAACACATTGCACGTGCCTAGCGGAATGACACAGAAGCACAGTTGGCTCACACAGGGTATGAAGATAGTAAGATCAATCTTAGCTCATATTGCAATGTGTATGTGGGGACAATGTTTGGGAGATGCAGCCCTCTGGAGAATGTTTATCTAGAAATTGACCCATCAATTCACCCAATAATACAATGGAAGACCCCTTGCTTGATGCTATTGGGCAATCATTGTAGGGGTTGACCGTCTTGAGTGAATTCACTGCTCAGGTCAAAGCTGCATAGTGTGCCATGGCTGCAATGTTCTGCCACGCAAAAGCGTGCGGCAGTCATTATCGCTGGAGCTGCAGCTGTCCACCTGTGTGAAAAGCTGCATTGCTCCTTCAAGACAAAGTTCCGGCGAAAGCTTGCAGAAATTCTGCACGTGCACATGAAAATAATATGCGTTTCAACCATCTCATCCCTTTAGGTGAGACAATTGACGCAACACTCTGGACTGCGTGAGATGTGTCAAATAGATCGGTCAAAGACCCGTCCTCAGTGTGGCACCACCGATCAGGCAGTAATATGGAGAGCGTCGCTCTTGCGCAACCCTATTAGCCTGCATGTCAGAAACCTACGTAGCCTTTGGCGCATGATCGACTTGAGCTAGGTAAGCCCTTACCAAATCCGAAATTTGCAATCATGCCGTCCACTGTAGTCGTAGCGCAGGATCATTACAGTAACCCCTCTTTCTCCGATTTGAGCATTGTTTGGCTTTCACTGATGCCCTTTTTCATCATTAATATATTCTATTGTATTTTTCCCCAAACAGTTTACTGTTAGGGGTTCTCAATGCTTTAAAGAATGGTCCCCTTGGTGCTGGATGGTCTGGTCGGGTTCCCGGCCGGCTTGTCTCCCACTTTCATTTGTCTCCCAGTTCTTTTCATTTGTCTCCCAGGCTGGGTGCTTGTGGTCGGGTTCTCGGCTGGCTTGTCTCCCGCTTCCTTTCATGTGTTTCCCACTTCTTTTCATTTGTCTCCCACGTCCTTTCATTTGTCTCCCACTTCTTTTTTGTCTCCCAGGCTGGGTGCTCGTGGATTTGTCTTCCACTTCTTTTCATTTGTCTCCCAACGGGTGCTTGTGGTCGGGTTCCCGGCTGGCTTGTCTCCCACTTCCTGTCATTTGTTTCCCACTTCTTTTCATTTGTCTCCCACGTCCTTTCATTTGTCTCCCAGTTCTTTTCATTTGTCTCCCAGGCTGGGTGCTTGTGGTCGGGTTCCCGGCTGGCTTGTCTCCCACTTCCTTTCATGTGTTTCCCACTTCTTTTCATTTGTCTCCCACGTCCTTTCATTTGTCTCCCACTTCTTTTCATTTGTCTCCCAGTTCTTTTCACTTGTCTCCCAGGCTGGGTCCCACTTCCTGCATTTGTCTCCCACTTCTTTTCACGTGTCTCCCAGGCTGGGTGGTTGTGGTCGGGTTCCCAGCTGGCTTGTCTCCCACTTCCTTTCATTTGCTTCCCACTTCTTTTCATTTGTCTCCCACTTTTTCAATTGTCTCCCAGGCTGGGTGCTTGTAGTCGGGTTCCCGGCCGGTCTCCCACTTCCTTTAGGCTGGGTGCTTGTGGTCGGGTTCCCGGCTGGCTTGTCTCCCACTTCCTTTTATTTGTTTCCCACTTCTTTTCATTTGTCTCCCAGGCTGGGTGCTTGTTTCCGGCCGGCTTGTCTCCCACTTCCTTGCATTTGTCTCCAACTTTTGCCCCAAACAGTTTACTGTTAGGGGTTCTCAATTCTTTCTTAAGATGTGTCACTGCTGGTGTCCGCCCATTTCCACTGGCCATGTAGCATTTCAAATTAATCATTTTTCTCCCAGGTCTACTGCTGGTGTCCGCCCTTTTCCGCTGGCCATGCAGCATGTCTATTCATTTGTTTCCCGGGTCTGTCACTGGTGCTGCCGCCCTTTTCCGCTGGCCATGTAGCATTTCGATTCATTTGTCTCCCATGTGATTTCTTTCTTTTTGTCTTTCAGGTTTGGTCCATGCACTGCTGTTTTCTGCCCTGTCGGCTGGAACAGGTTCACCTGTTGCGTGACTGTCTCCGGGATTGCATTCCTGCCACACTGTGTAACACTCAGCTTTGTTTTCCTTTTCGGGCAAGCGTTGGATGAATGACCGGATTGGATTTCGGCGGCGTGGCAGCCATCTCTCTGTTCAGTTGGGACGGGGGGCATACGTCAGGCACCAAAAATCAATTTTATGTCACATCCTTCGCTCCTCATGCTTTTATTTCTTTTCCTCACGTGGTCAACTCCCCGCTGATTGAGCAGCATGACCAGCATCATGTTCGCACTTGAAGAATAATTCCCCAAACGGTTTACTGTTAGGGCTTCTCAATTCTTTCTTAAGATGTGTCCGCCCGCTCTGTACTGCTGTGTCCGTCTCTGCCTTGCAATCCTTTACATTTGTTTTCCAGCTCTGGGCTGCTGCGGCCGCCTCTGCCTTGCAATCCTTTGTCTCCCACCTCTGGACGTCGCAAGCTCTAGTTTCGATTTTGAAAAAACACAAACTGTTTGGGGTCTACGGTGGTGTAATTATCACCTGCATGTTTTCAACGCAATGACAGTGATTGAGCCGTGCATTCTGCATTGTGTTGGCTTAGTGGTGCCTTTCTTGCGTGAAGCATTTCCAAATAGAGTAAACCACAAATCGAGCAATTGGACACCTTCTAGAGTGGGCCTCTCGAGGTCTGGGGAATGCGAAGGTGCACCATCATGGCCAGGTGCTCCTGGAATTTCTTCACGTAGTTAGTAGTCACTTCTCAAAATCTCCTACAAGCCCTACACCGAGCCAGCTCTGCCAAAGTTCCGCTTCTATTCTACAAGCTAGCACAGGCTGGCAAATAACTTCAGTCCGCCCGTGCTCGATCCCAGAAGGGTCATGTCTGTCCGGTAGCCGGTCCTAATGCACAACGGACTTGGCAACTCTTCTTCGCAATCGCTCGAAGGTCAACCACAAACCATCCTCAGTGCCCACAAGCTCATCAACAGTCCTAGAGGTTCTTGCTTTCTATGTAGTGGCTCGGCTAGGTAGTGTTGCCGCATGTTACCGCTCCATCGCCCAACCGAGCGATCCTTTTCCAACTAATAATTTGAACCTTGAACCGAGTTGAACTCAGCTAGTAAATGGAAACGCCTGCCAAAGAACTTTGAGCTAATCGATTCACTTGGCAATGTGTGCTGGTGTGCGTGGCCGTGGATTGCAATAAGTGATGGGACGCGCTTGTATTATTTAGTGATCTGTAGGGAGTTGCCATGATCTGCTTCACGTTGATGGCAGTGATCTTCAGTAGCTTTCGCGATCTGAGCTAGATCTGGGATTTTTCTACTCTTCAGCGTTGCGCTGAGCATGCTCCTGGTGATCCATGGTGGTCTGCGGAGTTTGGTGGTGCGGGGACACGTCGTGGTTTGAGATGCGTCACAAAGTATGAGGATGTGTCGTGGCATCTGGCAATTTCTGTCTGTCTACAGTGCACATTAATTAGTGCACAGTGACTGACTTACAGATTGTGGTGGTTTCGTGCGTTGCATATAGCATGTTGTAGCCAGTCTGTGGTAGCTTTCCGTGGTAATCCGTGATGATGCATGGTGATCAGCAGCCCCCCCCGGGACGATTGAATTCTGTCCGCGCATCTAGCTGAGTACCAACGGAACCCGGTACAGGACTCCAATTGAAATGAGGTCAATGCTACCTTCATCGATTCAATAACCCCCCTAGAGCCGCGATAGTTCGTGTCTGAGGCACTCGGTCAAAGTAGGTACCTGGCGCACTGTTTTCCCCAAGGTCAATGAAAATGGTTCTGCTTGCTCTGCTGGAGAACTGGGTGTCCCCTTCGCGGGCTGCACATGCCTACAGTGAGAGTCTAGGATCTATTGGCCAAGAGTGCCTGTGGAGCCATGCAAAAAGTGCTTGCGCAGCACTAGTAGTTTCTTGTTACTCGTTCGTAGCGGTGCCCCTTGTTCCTAGCATCTTGTTCCTAGTGGTAATGCCAGGAGCTACTAGTAGCTTCTTGTATATACGTATATACACAAATATTCTTTATGCGCGGACATGCAAAGGAGGCTTTGCACATGTTTCTCGTGTGCCGGAAACATGAAGAAACGCCACCCAAACCAAACAACCATGGAATACCGGCATACCTGAAAATCAACAACAAACCGCTGAGTATTGGATTAACTCGGAACAAATCCGCTGCCAGAAGCCTAGAAACGCAATGACATGCGGGTATTGTCTTTGGATCTGACCCAATTTGGACACCCATACTTTGATCCAGCTATAAATGCAATTTAATCCCAAAGAGTTCGCATTCAAAGGGTCTTTTGAATGACTGGCATAATTCCGAAGCCTGGGGTTCTTGTCTCAGCGGCACAGTGTTAGCCCACGTCGTTGGGCTAAAGCATGCTAAAGCCATGGAGGACTCATGAACCTTCAGGTTCTGCTCTGTTCCACCATGCCACCATGACTCATGACCCTTTTACCCAACGAGCCTTGCATCCAGCGCTCCCCGTCAGTAGGTAAGATCTGGGTCCGGGAATGAAGAATCCGGCGGTTGTCAAATGCCTTAGCCACGCTTCTGTAGTTTCTGCAGTGCCACATTGAACACACTCTCCGATAGCCAGAGGCCGAGAGCCAATCAGAACTTGTCACGTGTGAGTTTGTGCGAAGTGCGAAAGCAGTCGCTTGATCTGACACAGCAATTGCAGCAATGATTTGGTATGCGATTGATGGCACAACCCTGGTGTGCAAGATGGAGTCCCCAGCTTTAACTCCCTTCTTGAACACTTGTCGTACGCCCAAGCTGCCACCATCTCGCCCGCTTTCAGCTGCACCTTTGCATGATGCCTTGTTGGGCGTGGGCTGATGATCAGGGTGATCCAAGGGGCGCGTTTACGAAAGCCCACACACTCAATCAACAGGCATTGGCAAAGAACTCGCACTACAGAAGTTGAGCATTCCATGGACCAAATGCCACGCAAGATGTCCGAGCGTCTGCGCGATGTTTGCCACAATATCCAAACTACACGTCATCTCTACTCCTCTTGGAAGTGAGGGGCATTTACAGTAGAAGCTGTATCACAAACGCAGAGTTCATTGGTAATCTTTTTGTTTGCAGAATTCAGCAGCGTCCCGCACCTGCAAACCAAAACAGCGAACAATTTCCCTGTCGAACGTGTTCAACACTGAGCACTGGTATTTTGTGTGTGTGTGTGATATAGAATTGCGCGGGCCTCGCGCAGAGGACCACCCGCACCAACAACCTTCGATTGCAAACTATGCTTCTGGTACCCACGGAGCCAAGGCAAAGGGACATAGAGAAGGAGACAAGAGAGAGGACACCAATGACTTTCCAACAGCTTGATGTCTATGTAATCTTTATACATTCTTCCTTATTCCTTTATGAGACAAAGATTGAAAAAAGTACCGTTCAAAGTTTGCAATCAACCAAGTATCTTCCGACAACAGGTGCAGAAACAATTAGAAAAGGTCAAGTGATGGCGGCAAAAGACCTCATATGTGCAACATATGTCTCAGCGGGATTTTCAATTCATTCTCCATCATTCGAGTCGAAGATCACTTCGAGGTTAAAATCGGTTAGGAATTTGGATTCTAGAATATCAGTACAAAAGGACGTACGAGTAGTATGGACCCGAGTTCGGCTTCAGCTGAGCTCAACGGCCATCTCCCTATGCACCTTTTTGTAGCTTTTCTAGCCTGTCGAACGGTATATATAGTCTTCGGGAGACGCTAGATCACAAGTCCGTTCCCCTGGTGCTTCCTGCCGGGCAAACAAAAAAAACATTGCGCCTTTCTCCCAATTGACCTGGGTGTGGTGACATACCCTCCTGCAATTCCCTTTCCAGAGGCTGTTTGCTGTTTGCAGGTTTCATATTGCTGCTGATCCTTGGCCAGGTGAATCCCGAGTACCTATTTTAAAAACCTCCCCCACTTAGAAAAACACCACGTCCGAAACCCAAAATACGGTCATACGGTTTATATTTGTTTTTAAATCAGAAACCAGCGCTGTGAGCGTGTATATTTTTCAGTGTTACTTATGCAAAGGAAAATCTAAAAAAGTTAAAAGTATTTCCTATGCACGTGAGAATATGCGAATACCAAAGACCTAGGGGAAATACAAAAAAAGTCAAAAATACAAAGAATACCAAGAGGAACTACCAAAAATACCAAAAATATCAAACATACCAAACATATAAACATACCAAAAAATATCAAACATATCAAAAATACCAACAATACAAAAGACCAAGAGGAAATACTACTCAGGTGGCCTATATGTCTCCAGAGGATTGGTAGGATTGATATTTTTGGTATTTTTGATATGTTTGGCATTTTTTGTATTTTTGGTATTGTTGATATTCTTGGTATTTCTGATGTTTTTGGTATGTTTTTGTATTTGGAGGGAGTGCAAACTATTCCTCTACAGGATTTGTATTTTTGGTATTTGAGGGGAGGCTACTATATATAGGTGGTACTTGGTAACGTTGCAGTGTACTTGCTAAGGTTAGCTAAGTTTTGATAAGCTTTGCTAAGTGCAAGCTAGGTTTTGCTAAGTTTGCTAACGTTTGCTAAGTTTTTTTTAGTTTCTATATTCAATTTTGACAGGGTTATGGTTGGCTGTTTTGTTGTTTAAACTCGATTGGTTAGATGTGGTGCGGTTGAAGGAAGGTTGGCTTGGCATTGATTTGGATGTAATGTGTTCTTCTTCTTTGTTTCGTTTAATTGGATTGGACTTGATTGGACATGACTGGATTAGATTTAACCGGACTGGATTTGTTGATTTAGCTAAGGGAAAAGTAACAAAGACATGTACCACAAGCGCGTCAAATACAATATGTGTTTCTTTTCCAGTCAAACCTGCATTCAACTCTCTCTCCCTCTCTCTGAGTTCAATAGTGTCATATTTCAATCAAACTGAGCCCAACCAAAGACAATATTTCAAAAACAAATCCGACCCAGTGCAGCTCAAGAAATGACATCCAATCCAATCAAATCCAACCCAACCAAGAGAGCCCAAAACCAATACGAAGGATATCGAAATCCAGTCAGTGCCATGCCATGTGTATTAATTAATGATGATCCAATGGTTTGATTTGGTTGGAGCGTAGATTTTAACTCAGGGTTTCCTGGGTTTGATTAGAGTTAGTGGCCGCATCAAATTCTTGACTTGAATTCGTGTTTCTTAACCGTGTTTGATCGTTTTTGTATATTGCTAGTGGCAGCGAACCAATTCTATCATAATTCAACCGGTCTTGCCTTCATTCTTATCTGCAAGCGTTCACTTATAATACATTATCTAAAGTGAGTTCATGTTTTGTGTGTTCTTCTTGTATATTTGGTGTGGAACTAAAAAACAAGAAATATACCAAAAGCAACCGCGCAAAAAAGACATCTTCTGACATCCCCAACAGTTCATGCAATTATGAACGCACTTTTCTGATTTCCAAAATCATAACATTATGAATCTATGAATACATTAAATTATGAACTTATGCTCTCTTGAATATCGGGATATTACAAACTAAAAGGCTCACATATTTAAAATATTGTTTCTTTATATGTACAGTAGAGAAATCCAATATGAAACCATAAATTGAGTATATAGTTCTATTGAAAAAATGATTTTGATTAGTATTAAATACATTTTGGTATATATTTGTTGTTTTTCTGAGTTTTTAAAACTGTACGCATTCATAAAACCTACTTCTATTTTTGGGTGTAATCAACTATTTCTATTTTTGGGTGTAATCAACAATGTGTGTTTTATTTATGAGTTCAGGAAGTCAGAGAACTTCAGAAAATTAATGAACTAATTTTAAAACATAATGAGTTCATAAATTTCATAATGAACTATACTCAAACACAGAAGGCTACCCAGAGCAACTCATGGAAGACAAGTGCAAGATTCCAGACAAATGCACTTTTTACTCCTTCAAAATTTTGTATGCAGTCAATAAGAGCAGCTCATGGAAGACAGTTTATATAAGTATTTCAAACAGATGCATCTTTTTGAAACATTAAATAAACTTCATGGGCAGTCAATACTATATTTTACAAAGTAAAGCAAAGTTGAACATTCATTCATTGAAGACGCGCTGTTTAAAAAATATCATAGAATTGACAGCAGCACTGTAAGCGTATGCATTTCATGTGGTTACATTTCTCTATTGGACACCTAAAAATAGCTGATTTTACTGGAAAATACACACGCTCACAGCGCTGCCCTCTCTTTTGAATTACCGCCCTTTCAAGCCGCTACTAAACTACCAACATGGTCGATTTTGGGGATAACTTTTTTTTGCCGAATGCGTAGCGAAGGGTTCCCGTTTATAGTTGGGGGTGTGGGGGTTGGACATGTGTTTGCATGGCCTGCGTCGTGTCGTCGTCTGTCGTCGTCTGTCGTCGTCTGTCGTCGTCTGTCGTCGTCTCTCGTCGTTTGTCGTCGTCGTCGCGTCTCAAATTTGCTGCCATTGGGGGAAGCTTTTGCAAGTGACTTTGCATGGACGTGTCACGTGTCGGTTTGCGCCGCTATTCCATTGTGATTTGCGTGACACGGACATGTCGCGCAAGAAACGTGATGCACTTCGCTGCACAGGCGCAGCGTTTTGTGAGATCCGCAGATTACGGCGCAGTTCCATTGGGATTAGCGTTTGGAGAGTCGTGTTTTTGGGGTGTTGGATGTGGCCGTGCCATTGGGATTTGCGTTTCAGGGTGTGGCATCGAAGCTCTGTTTTCGTGACAAGTCTCAGCTGAAATGGCAATTTTGATGGATGGGAGTGTGCTCTGAACGGGTCGAAATCATTCCAAACGTGTGGTGTGGTGCAAATTTTGTTGAAGCTCACATGCGATGATATTGTCACTTTTCGTGGCAGGCGCAGGACTTCGTGCGGGCTTTGAAGCGTGGAAGTGCAATTCTCGTGGCAGGCGCAGGGAATCGTGAGGTTGCGAGGTGTGAGGGAGGTGACATTTCGTGGCAGGCGCAGTACTTTGTGCGCGTTAGACGTGTGGATGGGGAAAGATTCGTGGCAGGCGCAGGGAATCGTGAGGTTCTGAGTTGTGGTAGAGGTGAATGTCGCTGTCCCATTGGGATTGGCGTGTGAGCGGATGTTGTTTGGAGGGGCTGGAATCGCGAAACTGCTTGGCAGGGCTGCGTGATGTGTGTGCTCCGATGGGTGTTTCCGCTTGACTTTTGGAGGAAGTCTCGTACGAAACGCTCGTTTTGCAGACTTTGACGTGTGAGTTTTTGAGGAAGTCTCGTACGAAACGCTCGTTTTGGAGACTTGACGCGCAACCCTCTGCGGAGATCGTGCGTGTCGAGCGCACCAAATGCAGGCGAGAGTGCGATTTGTCCCGTGCGCGCGCAACCCTCTGCGGAGATCGTGCGTGTCGAGTGCGCGAAATGCAGGCGAGAGTGCGATTTGTCCCATGCGCGCGCAACCCT